TATCTATCTATAATAATAATCTATAAAAATAAAAGATAATATGCTAATTAGACTGAATGTCTTCTGGACATTATCCCAGACATCCTTCCTGACAAAGCCAAGCTGGAGGGAAGCCAACTTGGTCCCAGGTGCCTGTGAGTGGCTGGAGGGAAGTCAGCCTGGGTCCTGGGTGCCAGAGGGAAGCTGGTGCCAGCAGCAGGCGGAAGAAAGGCCTACTCTTGCACGAATTTTCGTGCATCGGGCTTCTAGTGTATCCATAGATGTATGTATCACCTATATATACCCCAATATTTCTATATCTGTCCATCTATAAAGATATTAAAAACCATGAGTTATATTGATACCTCCAAATCTAATCTAATTCCACAGGGTTTATTCTTGCCTTCTCCCCTTTTTTATTGCGATGTCTTTCTATTGCATATTCTTTATAATTTGTTTAATCAGTAACCATTTGATATGCATTTGGGTTGCTTTTAGTTATTGGCTGTTAAAAAGAGTACTGCAGTGATAATATTTGTACATATATCTTGGAGAGATTTTTCAAATATATATATATAGAGAAAATGTCTAGCAGTGGGCTTTCTTGTTCTAAGGAAATGAACATTTAAAACTTTATAGATATTTCCAAATTAGCCTCTAAAAATACTGTTTGCATATTTTAAAATAATTGTCTTAAGGGCACATTTCTTAAAAACAATCCTGGCCTGTTTGTTAATGTCAGTGTCTCTTTTACCCTTTTCCTGTAACCATTTAGATAGGACTTCTGATGGGATCCAGAAGTCCTAAGATTCATTCCCTTAACCTAGTAACATTGATTAATGCAGTCATTTAGTTTCTAGCCTAGAGTCTTCTGATAGTATTGCAATTTTTATTCATAGACATTTCTCAAGTCTCATTATCCTTCAAAGGCGCTAGTCAAATTATAGACATTTATGCTGATTTCTTTATAACCTAGTTAAAGTTTCATTGCCCTGACTAAACCAGAGATATTTCTCCTTATATTAAAATTCACTCTTAGCTTAGAGATATTTTCACTCTTTGCAAAGTGGCTGTGTTTTCCTCCTAGGCAGTTTTCAAACTGTTCTCTGTTAATAGCTGCAATTAAAATGCCCCCTCCCTTATTGATTATACTCAGTAATTCAAATGGTTTCCCATTAACTGGTGATTTCTTTCTGAATTACAAAAGGCAGAGTTGGTTCAGAGTTCACCTTATCTATTTCACTCTTATATTTCTCTATTGATTAATAACCTATGCCTCCTCTATATTATTCATTCTAAACCGAATACTAAAAGCAATTTGGAAGCTATTTGAATGTATGTAAAACATAGAGTAACAGACATACTCTAGAGAGAACTTGGTACAATGAATAATGATAATTGAGGTTGAATGTTTAGGGTGCAGACAGATTGTCCCTAAGTGGCATTGAGTGGGCCTAAACTGTGTGAGTTACATTTGTCAAAGCTTATTATGTATCAGACACTGAAATGGATGCTAAAAAGGCAGACATGGTACCTGCTCAAAGGCAATTGCTCCTATCTGACATTAGAGCGGAAGTCAGAGCTAAACGATGATAGCCTAGTGAGCTCTTGCTGATACAGAAGTTGATTAATAGCTGGGAGAGATCAGAGGACATGAAGTCCCAGTGTCTCTACTTTAAGGAGTCAAGAAGACCTCACAGATGAGACCATTGATCTAGGCTATGAAGAATGAAGAAAAAAGAAGGATATTTCAGGAAATTATTAAAAGCTTAGGACAGCAGGGAGCCAAGGAATAATGTGTTTGTGGAGGAATGATAGGGAGTTCTAATGTGGTCCAAAGTTGATCAAACTAGTGTTGGAGAAACTCTTCACCAAGGATAAGCAGGTATCACAGAGAAAACATGTTGTATTTGTTTTATTAATTTCTAAAATGGAAAAAAAAAAAGGCAAACCCCCTTTGTGATTTTTTTTTTTTAAATAAAAAGTGTTGTTGTTTTTTTATGTGGCTAAGGACTTGGATACATAATCCTGCCCTTTAGCTCTGGGAGGACACTGCCAGTGACTCCAAAAGGGGAAATTGATGCTGAGTACAATAGAGAAGTATCAGTTTATTCAAATTGTGAGCACAAGAGAATTTGAACAGATTATAAAATCACATGAACAACAAAATTTAGAGATCAGTCATACTTGAGTAGAACTTAGTTAATACTTTGAAGTCATTCCTCTGAGACAGTTGCCCCAACCCCACTCCCAACCCAAGTAAGCAAACTGTATGGAAATGGGCCTGTTCAGGGGGTGAGGGTTAAAACTAGAATGACTTCCTGGGTAGTAAGTTCTTAAGTTTTAATGACTTATCTTGATAGAACTCTAGGGAAGCCTAAGTAGAAGCCAAACTTACTCAACACATCATTGTACATTGCTCCTTAGGATAATCCTATATAATAAAAGCCTAATATGCTAAGTGTCCGGTCATCTGGTCAACTGTTCAACCAATCAAAGCATAATATGCTAATGATATGCTAAGGCCATTCAACTGCTTGCTATGACATGCACTGATCACCAGGGGACAGACAGTTGACTGGTAGACCAGTCATTATGACATGTACTGACTACCAGGGGGCAGACGCTTTGACCAGTAGGTGAGCTTGCTGCTGGGGTCTGGGCGCTTCTCTCCCTTGCCCCGATCGTGCACTGGTGGGGCCCCTCGGCCTGGCCTGCACCCCCTCTCAATCCAGGACCCCTTGGGGGATGTCATAGAGCTGGTTTTGGCCCAATGGTGGGATGACCAGTTGCTATCACATGCACTGACCACCAGGGGAAATATGCTCAATGTGGTCAGTGTGCTCCTACAAGGGGAGCGCCGCTCAGCCAGAAGTCAGGCTCACAGCTGGTGAGTGTAGTGGCAGCGGCAGGAACCTCTCCTGCCTCCGCAGCATCACTAAACCATCAGTCAGACATCCCCCAAGGGTTGAGGGCCCCTCCCCCCCCAAGTGCATGAATTTCGTGCACCAGGCCTCAAAGCCAGGAAACCTGACTATAGGACATAGAGGCATTGACACCCTCTGGTGGAGAGAGTAGAAACTCATCTTTAAGCATGGGCTTGCTTAAATATGGGACCTTACAGCAGATTTTGCAACAAAGATTAGCATCTACTAAATGCTCTCCATTCAAACATGTAATTTTCTAATAAACTCTAGATATATCTCTTGAGCTAGCAATAATACTTATTAGATTTCTCTTTGGGACCTTTCAATTTCTTACTAGACTTGTTACTTGTAACTAAAAGGATTTGGGTTGTGAGAACTCTTCAGCATAATTTTGAGGCAGGAAATTGCTCTCTGATAGATGCTGTGAAGGATATATAAGGAGATACAAAATCATCCTTAAGGAACTTTACACTGTAACTGGGAAACAAGCCATTTATTATGGGGAAATGAGAAAATAAAGAGGCAAATCCCAAGGTAAGACAGTGTCACAGGAGATGTCACTGGGCACTCAAATGCCAATAAATGGTATAGATCCTGAGTTTAGAGAAGGCTGAAGTCACTGTAGGGAGGTTGGTGTGTTCAGGAATGACTTCATGAAGATGGTCGGACTTAAGTTTATTCTTAGCAATATTTCTAGAACTCTAGTTCTCAATTTTGGCATGTTCAGGAAAACACCTATATTGTTATTTCGTCACTTTTCATTCAAAAAAAAATTTTTTTTTGTAAATAACTTCTGCCTTGTCTTAAACCATCAAATCCATGAAATTACAAGTTTGATATGCTTTTGTGTTTGTTATAGATTTGCTTTGCCAATATACATGAAATAAACACAGGAAATCCTCATTATATGTAGATAATTACAGTACATCTTCACTTAGTCCCTGATAGGGTTTGTGACTTTACATGAAATTACATATTATAAAATCAGTTTTACCATAGGCTAATTTATATAAACAAAAGTAAAGTTCCTATGGCAGCTCATCAATGTTATAACAAAACAGTATCGAATAAAATGATGTTCTTGATAACCTGCTATAGTTCTACAAAAATACCATTTAAAGGGAATCAATCTACCAAAAAAGAGTATCAGTCATTTATATTAATTTTTGATGCAAAAGTTTGATTGAGGATTTAGTTTATAAATGAAACAAAAATTATGAAAATAAGTATTTCATTGTTTACCTAACAAAGTATAAGCTGTGTTGCAACTATGGACAAATTGAATGAACAAAATATTGAATTGAATGGTATTTTTCTGACAAAATAATTTAACTTTTGTGTACAATCATAAATATTAAAAGAATTCAAAATAGACCTCTCTTTACCTTTTAATGTTCAAATTATTTTATGAGCAACCTTATCATCCTTGTGAGTTTTCTCTTGTTTAGCTACTGATCTAATTATTCTAAATCCTTATTAGTTAGTGGATTTTTATGTGATCTGAGCAGACTTTAAAAAAAAAATCTCATGCAATTCTATTTCTTTTGCTTAGATTTGTAACTTTGATTTCCAATAGATATAGATTGGGTTTGAATTATATTGGAGAAATTGAAAACATCATTGATTTTATTAGTGAGGAGAGGGTGTGAGTAGAGGATTATTTAAGTCAGTTCTCATTTCAACAATTAATATTTTGGTGTTGGGATGACTTTTATTTTCCTATGCATCCTTCCAAAATCTCAGGGAATCTCTGGAATTGCCCAGCGACAGAGAAGGTCAGAGTCCTCTGCTCAGAGCTGGTTAAATCCCAAGGCCCACTGAGCATAATATTGGTCCTACCTCCTGTCATACACTTTCACAATATCTTTGAGTGATATTTCTTCTTTTCATGGTATCTACAATTGTATATGCTGCTTTCTAAAATCACTTTGAAATGTATACTGAACCAAAAGGTATCGATATTAGTCACTTTTAGAAGCCTCTCTGTGTAATTCCTATTAGGAAACCCATAGAAAGTCCTTTTGTAGTAGCTAATCTTGTCCTTTTGTTGGAATGATGATTTGAAGTTACAAGCCTTTCTCTGCTTTTTCCCAGCCAGGTCTCTAGACAAACTTTATAACTTTGCTGATTGTTCTGGACTCCACCTGATATTTGCTCTAAATGCACTGCGTCGTAATCCCAATAACTCCTGGAACAGTTCTAGTGCCCTGAGCCTATTAAAGTACAGCGCCAGCAAAAAGTACAACATTTCTTGGGAACTGGGTAATGGTAAGTAAGGTTGTTATTTGCTCTAATTGACAAGATGAAGGGTAAAAAAATAAGTTGACCTGTGATATGATCTCAATTAGACCATCTTTAGAGTACGGGCCTGAAAACACTTGAGATTTTTGGCCACTGCGTTGACCTTCTAAATAGTAAAAGAACAAATAGTGAACGGCAGTAGAGTTAGTGAATCCATACCATTTGCATGTATAGTTATCGCTAGTTAATTCATTCCACATATGGAGAAAATATCCTAACTAACAAATTGAAGCTAAGTTAAATACAACCTGTTTGCACAGTCTGAGCTGCATTTTATAGTGTGTGTGTTCTATGGAACACTGGTCCTACAAGAAAACCTTTATAACAATTCAAATATATTTGGGGACTACTCTATAGTATATGCACCTCTCAAAGGTGGAGGGTGCCAATGGGGGGAAAAGGGGACATCTATAATACTTTTAACATAAATTTCAAAAAAGGCTCTGAGAAGCATGCTGCAACTATTAGAAATTAGTTCTTTGAACATATTTATAATACAGTTTTGAAGTTCTTATCTGCTAAGTCTAACATTTGGGCCCCCAAGAAAGAGTTCTTATTTGTTGCTATTTTTTTCTTGATATATTCATACTTTCCTATATCTTTGCGTGTCATAATTTTGTTGTTGTTGAAATTATACTTACAGGTAGGTTAGAGCAACCCTGAATTCCAAATCCTCTATCCCAGAGATTATTTTTTGTTTTTGCTTTTTGTTTGTTTGGACTAGTTCAGTAGAATCTGTCTCCCTTGCATTATGTAACCGCTAATATTTCTTAAATTTTTTATTTTTAAATTATTTTTTATTTTTAAGGCCAGCTTCCTAGAAGTTTCCCTTAGTCAACATAGGCTAATGATAAGACTATAATTGATCAGAGGTTATGCTTAATTGAGCCAATAAGGCTTCCACCCTTTGCCAGTGGATCTGTATGTGTGTTGGGGAACACAATAAAAATTTAGGCAATTTACAAGTCTGACTGACTTTTACTTTTTAACATGCCTTCTCATGTCTCCTTTCTGAGTATACTAGGTTTCACACTCATCTGGGAATGCATAGATAGCTAGTGCCCTCTCCAGTCTCTCCTGAGCATGCACAGCCTATCAGACTAAGAGTATCTATCTGGGAGCTTATCAAGGCCCACTTTGTCTTATTCCCCAAATCTCCTGTTAAATTTCTTGCAAGTGTGCTGGTTCATATCTTTCCCCTATCAGTATCAAAACCTCAAGTTAGTCTTTTTGGAGCATATACTTCATTCCAAATCAAATTTGCTCCCTCTAGCAGTGGAGCTGCTGGATTTAGAACTTTTCTTGCCCTTTAAATCTGCCAAGTTAAGAAAAACTGGGAGAGGAGGTTTTGCCCTAAATTATTACATTCAGCTATTTTGTTATTATTAAACATTACATTTTTCTAACTTTTTGGTACAATAAGTTATGAACTTTTTGACCATATTTATGAACTTTCCTTTTTATTATTATTTATAATAAAATATTTATGAACTTTCCTTTTTTTATTATTGTTTATTTTTTAGTACTTTATTTTTTAAAATAAATCTTTTTTTTTAATTTAATTTTTTTTATTTTGAAGGAATATTTAATATTAACATTGTGAGTTATTATCTTTTGCATATCCAAGTTACACATTTCAAACAAATCGTCATTTATATTTACAGTATACAGATGCAAAGCTTTAATTTCCCACTAAATCATCACTTTCTTAAAATGGTACATGTGATGTTATGAAATTAGCTATTAAGCATTCGAAATAGTGGAAAAGAGGTCCTTTCTTCAGTCTTTTTTTTTTTAATATATATATATATTTTTTGATTTTTTTTTGCCATCCCTCCCTCCCTCCCTCACATCCCTTCCCTCCCCAGAGTTTTATGTCCATTGGTTGTACTTATGTGCATGTATAAAGATAAAAATCATATAGTCATATCAATTGATGCAGAAAAAGCATTTGATAAAATCCAACACCCTTTCCTGATAAAAACTCTCAACAGGGTGGGAGTACAAGGATCATACCTCAACATAATAAAAGCTATATATGATAAACCCACAGCCAACATACTCAATGGGCAAAAACTAAAACCATTCCCTCTAAGAACAGGAACAAGACAGGGATGCCCACTTTCGCCACTCCTCTTTGACATAGTACTGGAAGTACTAGCCATTGCAATTAGACAAGAGGAGGAAATAAAAGGCATCCAAATTGGAAAAGAAGAAGTAAAGCTATCCTTATTTGCAGACGACATGATATTGTACATAAAAAACCCAAAAGACTCCATTAAAAAACTAATTGGCTTAATAAATGAATTTGGCAATGTAGCAGGATACAAAATTAATGCCAAGAAATCTATGGCATTTCTATACACCAACAGCGAATTTATAGAAACAGAGACTAAAAAAGCAATTCCATTTACCATTGCACCAAAAAAAATTAAGACACCTAGGAATAAATTTAACTAAGGAAGTAAAGGACCTATATGCGGAAAACTACACGACACTGAAAAAAGAGATAGAGGAAGATGTAAACAGATGGAAGAACATACCATGTTCATGGATTGGTAGAATCAACGTCATCAAAATGTCCATACTTCCTAAAGCAATCTATAGGTTCAATGCACTCCCCATTAAAATACCAACGGCATACTTCACTGACATAGAAAGAACTCTCCAAAAGTTCATTTAGAACAATAAAAGACCCCGAATAGCCACAGCAATCCTGAGAAAGAAGAGTAAAGTAGGAGGGATCTCAATACCAGACTTCAAACTGTATTACAAACCCACTGTCCTCAAAACAGCCTGGTACTGGCACAAAAATAGACATATAGATCAATGGAATCGAATTGAGAACCCAGATATCAACCCAAATCACTATGCTCAATTAATATTTGACAAAGGAGGCACAAATATACAATGGAGTCAAGACAGTCTCTTCAATAAATGGTGTTGGGAAAATTGGACAGATACATGCAAGAGAATGAAACTGGATCACCAACTTACACCATACACAAAAGTAAACTCAAAATGGATACAGGACTTAAACATCAGACGGGAAACCATAAAAATACTAGAAGCATCCACGGGCAGCAAAATCTCAGACATATGCCAAAAGAACTTCTTCACTGATACTGCCCCTAGAGCAATGGAAGCTAAAGAGAAAATAAACAAATGGGACTACATCAAAATAAAAAGCTTTCTTACAACAAAAGAAACCATCAACAAAACAACAAGAAAGCCCACAATGTGGGAGAACATATTTGCAAATGTTACCACTGATAAAGGTTTAATCTCCAACATCTACAAACAGCTTATACAACTAAATAAAAGGAAGATGAATGATCCAATTAAAAAATGGGCAATGGACCTAAATAGAATTTTTCCAAAAGAAGACAGAAGGAAGGCCAAAAGTCACATGAAAACATGCTCAAAGTCACTAATTATCCGAGAGATGCAAATCAAAACAACAATGCGGTACCATCTCACACCTGTCAGAATGGCCAACATCAACAGATCAACGAACGACATGTGTTGGCGAGGCTGTGGAGAAAAGGGAACTCTTGTGCACTGCTGGTGGGAATGCAGACTGGTGCAACCACCGTGGAGAACAGTGTGGAGTTTCCTCAAAAAACTGAAAATGGAACTCCCATTTGACCCAGTAATCCCACTCCTAGGAATATATCCCAAGAAACTAGAAACACCAATCAGAAAGGATATATGCACCCCTATGTTCATAGCAGCACAATCTACAATAGCTAGAATTTGGAAACAGCCTAGGTGCTCATCAGCAGATGATTGGATCAAAAAACTTTAGTACATCTACACAATGGAATACTATGCTGCCATAAAAAGAAGGAATTCTCATCATTTGCAGCAACTTGGATGGAAATGGAGAACATCATGCTGAGTGAAATAAGCCAGTCATTGAAAGAAAAACACCACATGACCTCACTCATTTGTGGATAATAAAGAACATTATAAACTGATGAACCAAAAGATAGATATAGAGACAGTATATCAACAAGCAGACTGTCAAATTACAGCGGGGAGGGGAGGAAGATCTGGGCGAGATAATAGATCAACCGAAGGACTTTTATACATGCACTTAAAATAAATCTTTATTGTTCATGTTATTACAAATGTTCCTCTTTCCCTCTCTCCCCCCTCCATTGCTCTCCTCCACCAGGTTCCCACCCCACCCTCTGCCCTTTCCCCACCCCCCATTGTCCTCATCCATAGATGCACAGTTTATGTTCAGTCTCTTCCCACATCCCTCTCTCCCCTTTTCCCCAAGAATCATCAGTTCACTCCCCTTCCATACCTCTGATTCTATTATATCCAACAGTTAATATTGTTCATCAGTTTTTTTAATTTCCTTGGTTTTTAGATTCACTTGTTGATAGTTACGTATTTGTTGTTCATAATTTTTATCTTTATTTACTTTCTCTTCTGAAAGAACCCCCTTCAGCAATTCATATAATTCTGGTTTGGTGTTGATGAACTCCTTTAGCCTTTTTTTTATTAGTGAAGCTCTTTATCTGACCTCGATTCTGAGTGATAGCTTTGCTGGATAGATTATCTTTGGCTGTAGGTTCTTACTATTCATCACCTTGAATATTTCTTGCCATTCCCGTCTGGCCTTCATGGTTTCTGTTGAGAAATCAGCTGACAGTCGTATAGGTGCTCCTTTATAGGTAACTACCTTCTTTGCTCTTGCTGCCTTTAATATTCTCTCTTTGTCTTTTGCTCTTGGAATTTTAATTATGATTTGTCTTGGTGTGGTCTTCTTTGGATTCCTTTTGTTTGGAGTTCTGTGCGTTTCCTGAACTTGTAAGACTAATTCTTTCACCAGGTGGGGGAAGTTTTCTGTTACTATTTCTTTCAGTATGTTTTTGATATCTTGCTTTCTCTCATCTTCTGGGACCCCCATAATTCTGATGTTGGTTCGCTTGAAGTTGTCCCAGAGGTTTCTTACATTATCTTCAATTTTCTGGATTCTCTTGCCTTCTTGCTTCTGTGGAGGAGTGTCTTCTGGCTCTTTATGTTCCAAATCTTTGACTTGATTCTTGTGGTCTTCCATTCTGTTTTTAGGACTCTGTAAAATATTTTTTTATTTCAGACAATGTGTTCTTTGTTTCTTGTTGATCCCTTATTATTTCTTGTTGATCCCTTATTATTTCTTGTTGTCCCTTATTATTTCTAGTTGATCCCTTTTCATATCCTCATAGGTCTCATTTATTTTATCGGCCTTTTCTAGGAGATTCTTGAACAACCTTATAATTGTGGTTTAGAACTCTATATCCAAATCGCTTTTTGTCCTCCATTTCTTTCGTTTGTGATCTATTTCGTTGTCTTGGCATTTTCGCTGCTTCCCTGATGGGGCGGAGTTTCAGGGTGGAGCCTACAGGCTTGGCTTCCGTTAGCCACACCCTATGCGGTCTCAGTAATCCCCCGGGTCCTTTGGTACTCGCTGCAAGAAAGGTGCCCTCAATTTTCTCCTGCTACCAAACAGTCAAGGCTCTCCCCCAATGAGCCCGGAACTGGGATTCAGTTCAGTTGGAAGTGGGGTTGGAGGTGGCGTTCAGAGCAGTCTGGAGCCCCAGTCTCCTTCCTGCCATGGCAGTCCCGGGGCACAGCCAACCGTCCCTTCTCTGCGCACAATGTGTGCGCCTCCGGGACCTTTCGCCGCTCCTCCAGGCCTTACGGCCCAGCTCCCTCTGTTTGAGCCTGGGTCCCTGTCTGGCCTAGAACTGGGGTTCAGAGGAGTCGAAACTGGGGCCCAGCACAGTCTGGAGCCTTTGTCTCCTTCCCACCAGGGCAATCGGGCAGCAGAGTTAACAGTCCGTCCTCTGCGCACAATGTGCGCACCTCCAGGACTGCCTCTTCGCACGCGCTGTGTGTCTCAGTACTTTAGGCTTTTACAGCTCCTCTGCTCTTCCTTCTGCTTTTTTCCTTGCTTCTCGTGTAGAATTTCCAGTCAGTCTACTTTCCTGTAGTTCTGGGTAATGTACATTTTATATTTTAGTTGTATTTTATTAAAATTGTTGTGTGCAGCTGCGGTTAGGTGTTTACCTGTGCAGCCATTTTGGATTCCTCTCTCATCAGTATTTCTAACTCTCTCTCCTTTTTTATTATTTATATTAATTTGCTAGGCCTGTCATAACAAAATATAATGAGCTTCATGGTATGAAACAACTGAATTTATTCTTTCTCAGTTCAAGAGACCAGAAGTTTGAAATCAAAGAATTGCCAGGATTGATTCCTTCTGGAGGCTCTGAGGAAAAATCTATTCCATTCCTCTCTTCGAGCTCCTGGTAGCTGCTAGCAAGCATGGCACAGCAGCATCTCTCCAATCTCTGCTTCAATTGATCTGTGGCCTTCTTCCCTGTGTGTTTGTGTACCTGAATCTCCCTTTCCTTTCTTTTATAAAGATATTGGTTATTGGATTTAAGACATACCCTAATCCCATATTATTTCATTTTAACCAATTATATCTTCTAAGATCCTATTTCCAAATAAGATCACATTCTGAAGTTTCAGGTAGACATAAATTTTGTGGAATACTGTTCAACCCAGTATATCACTCATTATAAAATATCACCTGAAAATCAGTAGGGTCTCTCTGTTGTGGATTAGGTGGTCTTTTGTGAAGATTAGTTTGAAAATGAATAGAATAGTAAGATGGCATTTGACTTTTTTTTGCAGGGGTTCCTCAAGTTAAGCTAGCTCACACCCTCTTTGGTTATTTAATTCACAGTGTTAAGAAAAAGGAAGAGAGCCCTGGGCTGTTTGGCTCAGTGGATAGAGCTTTCGGCTGCAGACTCAGGGTCCCGGTTTCGATTCTGGTCAAAGGCATATGCCTTGGTTTAGGCACATACCCAGCGGGGAGTGTGCAGGAAGCAGCTGATCGGTGTTTCTCTCTCATCGATGTTTATAACTCTCTATCCTTCTCCCTATCTATAAAAAATTAATAAAATATATTTACAAAAAGAAAAAGGAAGAGAGATCTGGAGACAGGAAAGGGTTGGCAGAGCTTTACTCTTCTCAGCCCTAACTTGCATGTCTTCTTTTAATCTAGAGCCAAATAACTATCGGACTATGCGTGGCCGGGCAGTAAATGGCAGCCAGTTGGGAAAGGATTACATCCAGCTGAAAAGCCTGTTACAGCCCATCCGGATCTACTCAAGAGCCAGCTTGTATGGCCCTAATATTGGGCGGCCCAGGAAGAATGTCATCGCCCTCCTGGATGGGTACGTCAGATTATTTAGCAGTTCTTATAACATTATTTATTAAATGTAATTAATTAATGTGTTTGTATTTTTCCTAGTGATTTAGTTCTTAAGAAGGACAGAGAGAATTTTTCTGTGATTCCCCCCACTCTAAATCAGGGATTCTTCATCAAACAGTGCAATAACTTTTTATGTCTCCAGACCTTCCACAGTCAACAGAAGGTGGTAGGATTGGCGAGAGAATACATAATCAAACAAAGCCTCTGTCATTTATGTCCATGTAGTTATGCTTTTAGATTATTTTCTTTAATGATTTGATTAATGTATTTCCATGAGGATGACATTGTCCTCTCAGTAGCATAACTCTGTATTAATTATTCATTTATTCTGGAAATGTTTCCTGAGTAAATGATATGTGCCTAGTACCATGTCAGGAGATGGGTATGTAATAATAAACAAAAACAGATACTTTTTTTTTTTTTTACCTTCACAGAGTATATAATATGGTAGGAGAAACATAGACATTTATCAACTTATCTAAAAATTAAGACAATACCAAGTAAAGGTACATGATATAATGAATACTCTAAGGGCTGGGATTTGATTGAGCAGGAGATCATGGAAGGATTTCCTTAACGAAGCCACACATAGAGGAAGAGAGATATTAGTGTAATTTAAATGATAGGTAGGTGTTATCTAGACAAAGTTTAAACTGAACAGTATCTGTATTCTTGGGGAAAAGAAAAGCATATGCAAAGACACTGAGGATGAAAAGAGGGCCAGGTTGGCTAAAGAAAGGCATAGCTAGAGAAGTAATTACGTGTCATATTATATAGACAGAAACTTATAGGCATACTAAAGGACTTAGAATTTCTTCTAAGTACAATGGGAAAGATGCTGAATGTTATTAAGCTGGGGAGAGAAATAATTTGACTTGTTATGCAAAAATATGCTATGTTTACCCTATAGAAAATAGGTTGGAGAGGAAGCAGTGAGAAGGCCACTTAGTAAAGAGAGAAAGAATAATGGGAACCTGGACTAAGATGGTAGCAAGGGAATATATTATTGGAGGTAGAATCCAGAAGTCTTGATATATTGGATAAATATATGGTGATATGACATAAGTATATTCAAGCAATTGGGTGAGTGGTATTGTCATTTACAGAAATGGGAAGAGTGGAGGACTAGTCTAGGAAGAAAATCATGAATTAGGTTTTCATGTTACATTTATTATGTTTGAATTTAAATAAGATGTCAAATATATCATTGAATGAGTCAAGGGATCAAGATCTCTGCTAGCCATATTAATTCTTGGGGTCATTAAAATGCAAATAGGATATAAGGCTCTGGGAATAGAGGAGATCACTTAAGAGAGAATGTGGAAAGAGAGGAAACAAAAGGAGAGACCAGAGGAGCTCTCATATTTAGAGGGAGAAAAGAGGAATGACCTCAGAAGTAAGAAAAAAGGGAGAGATTAAAATGACACAGGAAACAAGAAAAGAGTTTTAAATACAGAGTGATTTCTCCTAGGAGGCCAAGAGGTCAAGTAACAGGAAGATAGAAAAGTACCAATGGATTGGGCAACATACAGGTTGTTAGTGACTTTGGATAACAAAGTTCAGTGGAGGGGTGAGAACAAGAGGCAAATCACAATAGTTTGAAAAGTGAATGGAGTGTGTGTATGAAATTTGGAAACAATGATACAGACAGCAATCCTTAACAGATTTTTTACTCTGAAGGAGAACAGAAAAACTAAGGGAGATGTGGGAGTCAAGGAAAGTGATGACATTTTTCTTCTGGGAAACAGTAGAACAGGTTTGTGTGTGATGAGACTCATGCAGGAAAGGAGCTAGATTGAAGATATAAAACAAAGTGAGAAGTCCTTCAAGGTTAGAAGAAATGGAGGCCAGAAAAATTGGCCTTCACTAAATGGAAGGGTAATTCTATCAGAGTAATAGAAGGTAAGAAAAAAATATTTCTCCATGTCAGAGGTTAAAAAGTCATACTGAGGAGACTCTTCTACCCAGTACACAGGTGTAGTTAGGCATCTTGGTTTGTGTACATGCTGTAAATGTGAGCACATAGCTAGATGCTGGTTTGTTATGAATAAGTCAAGAAATGTGGACACAATAGTAAGTGACAGATAAAAGAAATGAGCATGTAACCGGATGCTACGGTAGCAAGTGGTGGAGTTCACTCCCCTATACATCTAAAAACTAACAGGACTCGGGAGATAGAGAAAATCACTTAGGACAAGGAAAGGTCCCAGTGCTTTATATGCCAGGGAAAAAATGGAGATTTGTCTTTCTTAATGTATATGTGCTAAATATACAGTGAAATATAACTTGAAATACATAAACATTCCTAGCAACTCAACCAACAATAACAAAAATGTCACCACTCTAAATTATCAGCTCTGTAGTCTTTTCGAGTTCTCCTGGTTATACAGATATAATTTTACATAGTTGTGATCATTGTATATGTATCATTTTGAGTTCTGCATGTTTTACTCATTGCTTTATATTGCATTCTCTTTATTTCTACATAGTTCTCATATTTGTCATTCTTAATAGCAATAAAATATTCTGTTGCATTAATGTACCAAAGCTTTCCCTCACTGTTGGGCATTTGGACTCTTTCCAGTTTTTGTCTGTAATATATAGCACAGCTATAAACATCTTTATACAAATAGGTTTTTTATTTCTTTTGAATTACATCCTTGGGCTGTATTCCAAAAAGTTTGGTTTCTGGATCAAAGTATGTATATGATAATTTTTATGGTTCTTATATTTGTTGCCAGATTTTATGTTTTAGAACAGTTTTACCAGATTGCAGGGCAGCACTGTATTAGTGAATCTTTCCCCTAAATACCCCATAGCAATGAATATTGTCTTTTTATTAATTTACTCTATTTTAATTGATGCAAGACTCCTCATGGTTGCTTAAATTTGAATTCTGTTAACTTTAAAAACAACTGGGGGATTAAAAATGGCGGCAGAATAAGTGGATGCTGCACGGACGTGCTCCCAGAAAGAAACTAGTATTACAACTAAAATATAGAAAAACTTCCTGAATTATAAACGGAAAACTCACAGGAGAGAACCCTGACACCCAAGGACTGAAAGTGGAGACCGCATAGTAACTGGTAGGAGGGGTGGAGGCACTAAAGGGCTGGCCTGGCGCCCACAGAGGATAACTGAGTCCCAGAGAGATATCTCAGCTGTGGGGGGTTGCCATTGAGAACTCAGGGATCTAATCCCCAAGCTGCCCCCTCTCTCCCCATCAGAAAGCACCAAAATGGAGGAGGGTACCCATATAACATCTGGCTGTGAAAAGCAGCGGGGCTGTCTGCCAGAGAATTAACAGTTGAAAATGCAGGCACCCTCTTAAAGGGCCAATGAACAAAATTCCCTGAGGAGCCATCTATCTTGTGCTCTGGCAGAAGGAGGCTTAAGTGGACTGGAGATATGAGGGAAGAAGCCAAGACTGGGGACTTGGGGGATATAGTTTAGAAGGCAGACACCCCAAGTTTCATGGGCCGAGTTATTCTCTCATGCAGTGGAGAACATCTTTCCCACATAGACATCTACCAGACATCTACCTTGACTGGGGGGGGAGGGAGATAGTTGACACACACTATTGAAAAACACCTTGCCCTGAGTGTATTTAAGAGATTAAAAATAACTCCAGGCAGTAGCAACTGCCCCACTCTATTGAAAAAAAAACAAAACAAAAAACAAAACAAAACACCCCCCCACACACACACACACAAAAACAAAACAAAACAAAACAAAACAAAACAAAAAAACCTCTTGTGATACCTGAGGACAATTACTTGGGGGGCAATTCAAGTCAGAATCCTATCAGTCTGTAGGCCAAAGCAGTCTCTGGAGACTTTGATTCTCTGCCTGACCTAATTAGTCAAAAATAGCCTTTAACACAATCCTGCACTAGAGATTGAGAGATGTCTAATACATAGACACAAACCCAAACAGAAATCCAAAATGAGGAAACAAAGAAACAACCCCCAAAATAAAGAACCATAGAATTTTCTAGAAGAAGAGATAAATGAAACAGAGATAAGAAATTTATCAGAAACAAAGTTTAGAGTATTGATGGTCAGAATGACCGGTCACTATGATGCACACTGATCACCAGGGTGCAGACACTCAATGCAGGAGCTGCCTCCTGGTGGTCAGTGCGCTCCCACAGGGGGAATGCCACTCAGCCAGAAGCTGGGATCATGGCTGGTGAGTGCAATAGCGGTAGCAGGAGCCTCTCTCGCATGTGTGGCAGTGCTAAGGACTCCTTGGGGAATGTCCACCTGCCAGTTTAGGCCTGCTCTCAGACTTCGAGAGGGTACAGGAATCCCTCCCATTCAGTGCGTGAATGTCATGCACTGGGCCTCTAGTGTGTGTGTGTGTGTGTGTGTGTGTGTGTGTGTGTGTGTGTGTGTGTGTATATATATATATATATATATATATATATATATATATATATATATATATATATACAACATTTTCCAATTCCTTATGTCATCTCCTTTCTCCTGCCCCAGATGTGGTTAATGACACAGTACCATTTTTCCTCAGGTGCAGACCGGGAGGCCATTTCAGATTCATTCCTCTCCTTTGTTCATATACTCTTTCAGTTACTTATTAAGGTCTGTTATTTCTAACATCTTAGTATCACTCATATTCTGTCTTCTTTCCATTTTTATTTAAGTCTTATAATTTTCCCTCCTAAATGGTTTCTATGTATCTTGTCTCAGACTCTAATAATTGTTTCACATCGATTTCTCAGTGGTTTTTCAAAAACATGCAACATGTGATCAAATCACTCTTGCTTGAAATCCAAGCCCTATCACATGCCCCCCTGGACTTCAGGGTCAGGTGCCTGCCTCATTTTGCATCCAGTGTACAGCTCCATTCCCTTTGCACAATGTGCCCATAGCCATCAAAATATATGTAAATTTTGACAGATGCCATACACTTTTCCCTTTGTACCTTTTTATCTTGTGA